AGGCTTTTGCTCCGGCCCGCTCGCCCCTCAAAGGCCAAGGGGCTGGGGATGGGCAAGAGGCTGGGAGGGGACGATGCTGCAACAGCTGACCCAAACCGACCAAAGGGATATCCCATAACATGTAACGTCATGCTCAGCAGTAAAAGCTCAGGGAACGGGAGAGGACGGGGGATGACGTTGCGGTGATGACATTTGTCTTCCCAAGCAAGCGTGACGCACGCTGAGGCACTGCTTCCCAGGAAGCGGCAGGACATCTGCCTGCCAATGGGAGGTTGTGAATGGACTCCTTATTTTGCTTGGCTTGCGTGCGCAGCTTTTGGTGTCCTCACTGAACGGTCTTTATCTTGATCCATGAGTCTTTTCACCTTCCTTCTATTTTATCCCTATCCCCCGGGAGAGGGGAGTGAGCGAGAGGCTGGGTGGGTGTTTGGCTGCTGGTCGGGGTCAACCCACCACAAGCACCCAGTTCAAGCACACGTTTAGCATCTTGGTGAGAAGGAGGGGGGAGGAATTGTACCTTGTCATTGCGTTCACATAAGAACTTGAGTCTTTGTGCCCTTTTGTGCATGAACACACCGTCCAAGTGTCCAGTTTCCACTGATCGTATTTCGATAGCTTTTTCTCCCCAGCCCATAATCTGGTTGGATCGGATGTACGCTTTGGAGAGAAAACACAGCACACAGCCCATTAGGACAGGTAGGGGGCAACATGGAGGAACTGAAAAAGAGGAGTATACTGACGCACTCTGCTTAAAAATGACCTGCGTGTTGTAACTACACAGGCGTTCAGAGTGCTATTTCTGTCTTCAGCATCTTCTCGATGCCTAAAAATACCTTTTTTTTTTTTCATTTCCCTGTGAGTTTTCCATGTTAGTAACGTACATCTTGCCTGAGCATTCGTGACACAGTGGGAACCTTCCAACCTTCAAATAAATGGAAGGAACATCAAATTTTTTACCCAGGCTTCTTCTCCCAAGTTTGGCAAAGAGACAGGCTAATTAGGTATTGACAAGGAGAAAGCAGAACCCATGTTTTAAACAGACTAAACCCATCCACGCTGGTATGTCCCCAGCATCAGCTCTGTGTCTTACAGTGTTATTTTCCCTCCTTGAAGGAGTCTGTCAGCAAAAACAGAGAAAGGGCAGAGGGAAAGGGAAAACTAGAAAAAAATGAGCTAGCCTCCTGTAGCAGGAGTAATACTTCAAAGACCTGCTCTCCTTCTTGAGAAAGCCAATCGGTCTGAAAAGTATTCAGTATGTCTTAAAAGAGGCTCATATTAAGCTCTCCAAGTGGAAATACTATTACTTGTCATACCACTTTCCTTTGTGCACAAATAACACAAGAAAATCAAGCATTTTTCCTTAAGGGTGCCACTGGGGAAAACAGATTAGTAGTAGCATGAGGAAAAAAATCTGTTCTTGATAACAGTAAAAAAATCAAATAAAGGAGAAAGTCACCAGCATTATGAAAAGGTATATTCAAAAAGCAATTTGATGGATAGTCTTAGGAACGTTGCCAAAAAATAACATATGGGAACTTAATGAAGAATAAGCTCTTGCCTCTGATTTGCATGCATACTTAACAGAAAAATAAAAAGAACAATGGCTCTTAGCAAGCAAAATTTAAAAATATTTAATTTTGTAATACTTCCCTTTTAGAGAATTCTTCTCATATTGATTTTCAGTGAAATTAAATCGAATTTTCTACTACAATATAATGTACACCTATACCATCGCATATACCATCATGCTGGAAATGTGCTTATTTTTAAAAATCTCACTAGTGGTAACTGGGCCAAATAGCTTCTAAAAATTGTCAGATGAGATGTTCAGATGGTGTTGGCTGCCTCGGTGCCATTTACTTCACAGGCACTCCAATCCCCAAAGGCTCTGCGATTTGCCAGCTGATAAAAACTGCTTGCTTTTAGATCTAATCAAGAGTTAATCACCACAAGAGTGAATATGCCGTGTGTGAAACTTCTTTAAATTTCCTCCTCCGTTATTGTTTGCATTGCTCAAACAGCTATCAGCAGTCATCTCCCAACACACGTATTCATTCCAAGTGAAGTAAAACTCAATGTGCTTGCCCATCAAAAGGAAGGTGTGACCACAGCCCATGCTATGCTCAGCACTGAAATATGGCAGCACAGGCAGTAAAAGGGATCCTGGTGTGTACTTGTGCCTGTAACAAACCTGCGCCCATTTTACTACACTCATTGCTCCCACTCTCAAAACTACCTTATTTTGAACTGGAGAGATTCGGGAGAATTGCCATGCTAGGATAGATGAGCAATCTGCACGTGAATTAAAGTAAACACACCCAATCAGATATACAGCCATTAACAACATAGAATTACCCGTAATAATATCTTACCCATCTGCCACCTTACATGTCTTCGTACTGAAAGGTTTCCACAACTTTGTGGCTGTCTAGCAAAAATTGTGTAGCTGCCCACTGAGGCCCTGCTACTTACTGACTTTTTCATTCCTGAACTCCACAACATGCTTGTTTGGATTTTGTTCTTAAAAACCCAGCACAAAACAGATCCACGTGGTGATTCTCCACTTTGCGCAGCTGCTTCCCAGGAATACTACAGCATCGCTGCTTCTGAACCTGAAGTCAAACCTGACGCACCCTCCTCCTGCCCACGTGCGCATGCTTGCGCCTCCTTAAGGGCACGCTGCATTTGACTCTGCCGAGGCGCTTACCGACTGAAGTTGGCATTTCTCCCCACTGCAGAACCACATCCTTGGTGATCCTTCCATACGTGTTGACGTAAACTCCTTCATCCTCATAGCAGACCAGTAGTTCCATCCCATCCGTGTTTGGGAGAATGATGATTGCATGAGGTTGGATGCTGCTCTGGATCTATAGAGGTGGAAGGGAAGAGGAAGCCTTTTGTTTTAATGCCACAGAGCCCACACTGGGAGAAAGGGTTGGGTGATTTTTGATTTTGGCTGACAGCACATCAGGGATTCACTCACTTTCGAAGTGCTAGCCCTGCTCTCCCAAAGCTAGACACCCTACACAGTGACAACAAAGACCTGGAAACCTTTGGGGCACAAATGCTCCCATCTTAAGGCAGCCACCATAAACCAGGAGTGCCCATTTCTTTCCATGGGCAGAAGGGGAGCCTGGGACAAGCAGCCCAGGTGCAAACCTCAGACCTCTGCACTGTAGTGAACAGTGTTTGGGGAGGTGCATTGCACACTGCGGGCCCATCTGACACCTCTCTGTGTAAAATGAACAACAGGAAACCTTGGTAGCTAAGGCCACCTGGCCTGTGCCAACCCTGCCAAATCTGGGCTGGGCTGTCACATCATTTGTACTGTCACCTTCCCTGTAGCCTCTGCCAGGCATTTGCAATGCAGTCAGCCATTTAGCTGCTACCCCTGAAACAGTCACGTTCACCCACGTCAGATCTGAGAGGGCAGCTCCCAACCGTGGAGACATACTGACCGTGACGAGAGGACAGAGAGTGAGGCACAAGCCCCTAAGCGCAGGTGGCTCCATCTGCTTGGAGCCCTCCACCCAACTTACCACTGCCAGCACCCGGCAGTGATCCACAGGAACAGCCTGACATGTTGATCATGTGAGGAAAGGAAGGGGGGGGGAAACCAGAAAGAAAGAAAAAACCCAACCCCAGCAGCAGCTCTTACATGTGTTGGTAGATAAATATCATAGACTGATCCTGAATCCACATCAACGGCATGGAAGCCAGCGCAGGAGCCATAGATTACTTTTAGTCTCTGACCCTCTTCTACAGTTAGATCCACCAGCAATGGCTTATGTACCAGTTCTCCAAATGACTGTAAGACAACCATCAGTGAGATTTACTTTACTGCTTAGAACTACAGTGGGTTTTATAAAAACATCCTCTAATGCACATATTATGGGTTCACTCCTACCACATCTCTCTATCCCCCATCCACCAGACTGGACAGGCTAACATGTCTCTCATGGACAAGGACAGATTACTCTGCAACCCATTGCATTTCAATCATACAATACTGTAAGTAATTATTTGTTTGGTTTTTAGTAAGAATTGTTTTCCCTGAAGTTCAGGGCAATTTGATGCTGCCGTAGCGTTTCCTGCAATCTGCACAAGCGACAGTAGCTGATTGTCTGCAAATCAGTCTGGTAATTATGCCAAGCCAGCTAACTTCATTCATGCCGCATTCAAATAAAATAACAATGCTGAGTATCACTTAATGACTTGCTCTGCTCAGATGAAGATGCTTAGTGACTCAGTTCACTTCTCTCTGCCTCATGTTTTATTTACAGAGAGACGACACAAACAGTTGTGATATTTTGTCATTTTGATTATTAGTTTATGCTCAGTTACAATTTAGAACTTTAAATGCCTCTTAGAGCTAAAAAAGCTCTTAAATTAAAATATAATACAAAGTTCATGGCAGATTTACTGAAGAATGTCTAAGATGGCCATGACAAAACGTTGAAGCATTTCTGAAAAGGGGTAACTGCAAGTGGATACATGAAAATCCTACATATGTCTGAAATATACTGTTACCTTAAAGGCCATAAATTTATGGTATGGCTTTGGTGCCCATGCATAGACTTCCACAGAACTCTTCAATGCAATTACCAAGAACTTGATTCTTTCATATTTAACTGAAATTAAAATAAAACAAAGCAAAAAGAGAATTCAGCAGTAATTCCAAAGTCATTCAAGTTACTTCAATCAGAAAATGACAGTATTTCTCCATACTTACATACATTTGGAGGTTTCTAGTAACAGTGCATTTTGGGATTGCTAATTCTATATAGTTAAGTATTTTGACACATTTATGCCACAAAAATCGTCACTCTTATCAGTAACTGAACCCATCACCATGTTTCGAATTACCTAGTTGGTACACACTTATTTACATTTATTTGTTTCCACAGTACACAGTGCTTACTCATCAAGACAAGAAAATTGGTTTTCAGACAGGGACAATTCCAATAAAAGAAGCCTATGGCTGTGGCAGAGTGTATTGGCAGTTCCAGTCACAGCGGTGACAGTGATATTTTGAGCAGACGGCAAAATTCTCCAGGGGAAAGAAGGAAAAAAAGGGAACTGAAATGAAAAGTTAAGAAACAAGTCCATTTCAAAAGCAAAAGGCAAGTCTGAAAGCAGAGTACTTTTCTTTGTCCCTAAAGCCTGAGATAACTCACTTGAAAAATAAATTCCACTGAATTTATCAGAAATAAAGTGTCACGACATAGCTGATCCACAAATTCTTGAATATATCTCTGTTCCCATATTCAAACAGCTGGCTAAATTAACCTTCAAAAAAAGCTCCGTTAACTACTTCTGTTTTCAGGAGAGGACTGATGAAGTCTAGAAACAGCCATTCAAGAAGTATTGCAGGATCTGCACTTCCACCTGCCATCTGGACTTGGGAAGGAACAGATCGTGGGGGACTTCCAAGTGTTGAGGTCTGTTAACCTCTTTCCAGCACTCTTTTTGGGGGAGATGAAAAAAACATCAGTGTTATTTGGATGACATTGAGAAACCTCAGGAACTTTCTGCTACCTCTTTATCCCAAGTTTTAGGGGTATATGACACTTACCGAAAATAACGAGTAATTGTGTGCATCTTCACCTTCTGCCATTGTATCTCCCAACCAAAACTGATTTTGAAATGTGGCAGGAGTGCAAATCTCAGACTTGTGAGAAGAACGCTTCTTTAATAAATACTATTTTAATGCCTTTTAGATATCTTACCACTGTAGAAGCCTGTAGCTGTTGTCTCTTGGTAGGTAACGGAGACAAAGCTACCACTTGCTCCCTTCCTACTCTGCAGGGAAGCAAGACTACTGAACAGTAAGTGTTAAAGGACTTGACACTTCTTCAATGGGCAAAAAAAAAAAAAGTCTCTCAACCTCCACAGCTGTACCAACTGAAAAACAGAGCTTTTGTTCAGTCTTGTCTAGCTCACAAGACTTCTTGGAATTTTTTCTCAAGGAAGAGGGGGGTGTCGAACAAAACCACCTTATCTGTGAAAGGGGTCCTTTGATAATCCTCGGTCTTTGCTCTGGGTGCTATCTGGGAATTCACCCAAATCTTAAGTTTCAAAAGAGCAATTTATCATTTAGAGGAGCCAAAAATTGCCTGAAGCAACCAAGATCCATAAATACCACTTCACCCTGACGACCAAGAGCCCTGTTGCATCAAAGAGACAAGGAAGCGATCAGTGCCAGCTGCCTCGGTGGCAGCCTCCAGACCGTGAGCCCAACTATTGGCAGAGCTCATCCTTCTTGGGAACTGAAGCACAGCTGTCAAAGAGGCCTCTCACTACCTGAAGAAGTCATCTATGGTTCAGAGGGAAGTCCAGTGCCAAGCTGCAGCCCAGGCTAACAAACCCCTCTTCATCTGGAAGAGAATGCTCTTTGTTTCACACGCTTCCCTGCTGGAAAGACTCTTTTCAATTGCTGTTAATGTATTGTTAGCAGGCCACTTCATTATGCTGCTGACACCCTGGGGTACGATACCAGAGAAATACATTATTAATTGGTTTTGGGGTCAAGCTCCTGGCTCAGCAGTCACTTACTGCTGTTGTTACTGATTACACCCCACTAGCAGGTTTTGCCAAGAGCACACGTGTGACAGGAGGAGACTGAGCTCAGTCCGATTGCTGCTGCTCCATGGTGACTGATGCAGCTGGAAAGGAACTGTGCTGGCTCTTAGGAGAAAAACATATCAAAGGCAACATCCAGGGCCCATTAAGATGCACCATGAGACTGAAGCAGGAGAAAGAGCTCTTGGTTCATATCCCCACCTGCAGGGCAGCAGGCTCACTGCAGACTCTTGCTGACAGTGAATGCTACATGCCTTTCACTAGTTTTGATGAAAGTTTCTATGCCAAATCCATTTAAATGACTTAAAACCACTCAAAGGCACCTGCCTAGTGAAAACACACTTCATCCCGGAACTGTACTGCAGTGGATCTCAGACAGCATTAGGAAATTTAATGAATTTCAAGAGGGGATCAATGACTCATCTTGAAGTTAAACATATGCTTCTGTTCCCAGATGCCACCCCAAAGCTCACACACTAGCTGGGCTTGCTTTCTCCTCCTACTCTCTTTTTTCCCCTCAGTTTTTAAAATCTACATGAAAGAGGAGGCTTTTTTTTTATTCCGTTCCAGCATGTGATTTCATCACAGTAAATCAGGGAAACCTGCTAGCGAAGAGAACAGCTGCTAGTTGACAAGAGTCCCTCTGTTACCTAAAGGGTCTAACAGAGGTGGCAAAACGTTACCAGCCCTCACTGTCCATATTAGCACTCTCCTGGAAGCTGCATCCATCATGGGAAGGAGACAGATGGGGATTTGCACCCGCTCCAGTTCACAGCCCAGCATCCCACTGCAAAACCTCTCCCATATTCAGTTTAACCCAGTAACTTGCCACCTATTCTGGCGCTCTGCCAGAAAAGTTTGCCCCGAGGAAGAGGGAGGACAGCTAGAAATAAACCCAAATCTTAAGCCCAGCAGCTACATGCACTGCAGTTCCCTTTCTCAAGGCGGCTTTTATCCCAACGATTTAATTACTGCATTCACTACTCACCAACTTTATAGTGCACGCAGCCTTCCAGGTCACCCACCGTTGTCCAGCCCTGTTTCTTTTCTACTTCAGGGTCATTGTGAAGGATTTTATTTCTTAACCAGGACAAATAGTAGACTCGCAACTTGTTCTTCTTACCTGGCCACAAAATGAAAAAGATTGGTTTATCTCCATAGGAAGATAAGTGCAAAAAAAAACCCGCCCAAGCAAACAGAAAGCTCTGCAGAGCAAACCAAAATGACAATGAAGGAGAAACTGCTGCAGCCACAGAGATCTCCCTCAGTTTTTACATCCTCAGCAGCTTTACTCCAGACTCAACCCAATCACACGCTTTCCCGATAATCAATGACAGAGACGCATGGTGGTACCACATGAACATGAAGTGACAAACTCAGGGGAACAGCTCTTCAGTTGTCTGGTTCTTATGACACAAACAACTTTTATTGAAAGAGGTTTATACTCCCACAACAAAAGCACCAGAGAGTCATTCACCAAGATAAAAAACCCCTATATATAGCCGAGTCAGAACGGCTCTTTTTTGCCCAAAACTATAAGAGAACAGCAGGATGGAATTTGAGGCCCGAAATTATCTGTACAGCTATTGGAAGAGAGTAGGACTGGTTTGAAAGGAGGAAGGAAAAGTGAAGAATATGGTGCTGAAATGTATTTTACAAACTCTGGTTCCCAGCCAGTGACCAGGACATTTCCATCCCTTTTATCATCCTCAGAGACACAAACTGGTCAAGTTTTTTAAGATCGTTCATTGCTCCCCTGGCGGAAAAGCACACCAAGGAACAGCACTGAACAATTTCATTACTGAACCACTTTACACCAGTTCTGTTGTCAGGAAAAATGTACAATATCTGAAAGCGCAGTGAGAGAATTTCACACGGCCCATGCAAACTTTATCCGCTTGCTAAAAGCTGACGACTGCTTTGTCAGCAGCCCTTCCCTCGTGCTGCAAGGGGTGTAATACTTATCAGGCTGCACACAGAAACTGCAAGAGGTGTTTCTTCTTCACAGGTGAGAGAATCTACTTGCCCAGGCTGCCCTATCTTCACCTGACAATGCATCTGCCACAGTTATCAAAATACAGCTCAGACTCTTAACTCTCAATACGAGAAGGCCTCCTTGAATGCAGAGCAAGGTTCATGATAAACTTTATCAGCGATTCTTTAACAGCTAATGGCCTACAAAGCATTTGCTGAACTAGCGAGAAGGTGGCCCTAATGCACGTACTCAAAGCTTGCACCCTCCTTCCTCCAGCTGCTTTGCGGCCCGAAGCCATTACAGTCCCACAGATGAAACTGGAGGTAAAGAAGAGAGATCGTCTCTGCTTTGACCAGGGGCCATTTAGTAAGGCTCCGTGAGGTCTCTGCACAAGGAAAGGAAATCGGAGATGCTCTCAGGGACCCAACTTGTCAGTGGAGTAGCTCCATGCTAGTGCTTCACCAGCCACGATGAGGAAGGCGTGGGAGACTGTGGACAGTGTTTCACAGCCCGTGGAGCTGAAAGGAGCCAGCTGACCTGTACTGCAGTCGGTGCTGAGCTGGCCAGGTGACACCGTACTGGTCTACGCTGCAGAAAGCCACGACCTGCCAGGATGGGGAAGGGCAGGAGGAAAAGAGGCGGCAGTTTCAAAGTGAAAAAGCTGTTTTTACTGAGCTTGAATTTAAAGTGGAATTGGAAATCTGCTTTCAAATACTGGACCCGCTATTTAATTTTAAAAGCCTCTCTGTTCTGATGGCACTGAACGAAACATGAAGTAACGTTGCACTGTCCTTTGTTTATCCCTACTACAAAATGTGACAGCAGATTTGGCTGTAAGAGAGCACCCTGATTTATCGCCTGTCTTTATATTTATTAAGCCAAGTTTCATAAAGGGATAAAGCCCCACCACTGCCATAGCTCTGTAAGATTTGGAAAAGGGACCAGAGCAGGAAATAATATTCCCACAAGTCCCACATCTGACCAAGGAAAGGTTGTCCCATGAAAATACTGTGAACGATAGCCACAAGGGCTCCTTTAGAAACACTGAAATAGGGAACACAGTCCGGACCAGAAGGCACTGCAGTTCTGTGCGAGGAAGAGCTCGGGGGGCACAGGAGAGTTTGAAGGTCAGTGCAACGCACCAAATGTTTTTAAAACCATCACAAGCCCCTGTGCGCCGGGAGACAAATTCTCCCTCAGATATTTCCGTGGCTTTAGCTTCCTCAATATATTAGTCAAACTTGAAGACTGGGAACAAACAGTGCACACAGGAATTTCCCAGCACGTGGCTAATTTTTTTTTTTTTTACTTCTGGTTCACATGATATGTACCAGGGTATTTCTCTCCAACCAGAAACATCTTTCAAAACAACAACAGAGAAATATCTCAAGTGTGTTCCCATTGTGTTTTAGTGTCTAGACCACAAGGAAAGTCACAAGACAGGAAATTCCTCTGCCTTTCAGCAGCTTGACCTGAAAAGAGCAGGACCGGTTAGTTTTATAAACATGGCTCTGTATGGGTATTTCAACAAGTTATGCTGCTCTTGAAGTTTATATTGGGAGTGCGGGGATTAGATCCTTCTGCTTGTAAATCTCTACCAGTCAATTTAAAAAGGTCTCAAAAATCTGGTCTTTTTTTTTTTGGGGGTGGGGGTGGGGGTGGAACACGACACACGGTGTGAGGGGGTGTCTAATTCTTATGGCCATAAAACAAGAAAGAAAACTCTGCTCCAGCCATCAAATGAACTGATCAGCCAGTGACTTCTATGAGAACTCCCAGCTCTGGTTCTCTCACAGACGTCATTTCAAATGCAAAGTTCCTTTTCCTATATTGAGTTTTTGTTTTTTATTGTCCTGTGGTTTTCAATTATTAAGCAGGCAGATTCCAACCAGTTCTTCTACTCTGTCACGCCTTCCTACCTTCCCGAGAGCCACCGTCAGCCAGCTGGGCTGGCAAATCCCTCAGGGAGCTACAAGCAGAGCGTGTTCTGTATGCACGTCGTCACTCTCTCTTCCAGAGTTCTTATGACTCTCAGCACTGTACTACGTGAGCAGCCGAAACTGTTTTTGCCTCCCAACAGTATGAACTGAAGAACCAATTAACTATTCTACTTTGACCTGCAAAGCTTTCTTGCACCAGCAGCTCAGTATCTCAGTATCAAAAGCTTTGTTGTGAATAGGTTTTATATTTCATAGAATCACAGAATGTTTTGGGTTGGAAGGGACCCCTAGAGGTCATCTAGTCCAACCCCGCTGCAGTGAGCAGGGACACTGCTAACTGGATCAGGTTGCTCAGAGCCCCATCCAGCCTGGCCTTAAATGTTTGCAGGGATGGGGCCTCCACCACCTCTCTGGGTAACCCGTGCCAGTGTTTCACCACCCTCATTGTAAAGTATTTCTTCCTTATATCCAGTCTAAACCCACCCTGCTTCAGTTTAAAACCATTACCCCTGGCCCTACTAAAAAGATTTTCCCCATCTTTCCTATAGGCCGCCTTTAAGTACTATTTGAGATAGACATTGGGGGAAGAATTGATTTCAAATTTCCAGACTCAAAAGAGTGTCTATTAAAAGCAATTTTAGGTGACAATCCCTTCTAAATCCTAACGCACCGCAACTTCTTCGCATAACGTGGTGATGCTTTTCAAGCCTTGTCACCGTCGGCACACCACTTCCCAAAAAAGCCGAGGGAAGGTACTGCTGAGAGCACCGTAGGGAGCTGAACAATGCTCCCAGCAGAGCAGTAGCAGTCCTGGAACAAAGCTTGGAGGCAGCTCCGTAACCAAGCTGCCAAGATGCACCATGTGCAGAAACACATCCTCATGTCAGTGTTCCCAGTTTGCCTGGAGAGGTGGAGCAACTCACTATAAATAAAAAGACACCAAAAGAAGTCCAGCATGGGGGAAGCTTAAATTGAGCACTGAAGCGCAGACGCCAGAACAGGAAGGTAAGGGGGCTCTGAGCATAAAAGCATCACGGTTTCACCAAGTGGGCCCCCCGCCGTGGGCAGGGATGCCTCTTTCCTGCCTCGTACTCCAGTAACCTCCCATAAAATGCAGGAGGTGGGATAGAGAGGAAGGCATAAACCAGCCAAAGATCAGCTGATTTCTGAGGGGTTAATGTAGCGTGTCTCCACACAGGAAGCAATAGTTTTGAAGGAAACAAAGAAAAGGGATGTGTCAGGGTACTCGGATCACGACTGACGTAAACATAAATAAACCTAAAACAATTACACACAATATTGAACCACAGACTCTTGTCATCTGTGTAGGAGATGCTTCAAATCAACAGATTTTACACAAGTTGGATTATACAATATTTTTGTTTATAAGGCCTGCTATAGAATAAACTCTATCAAACAGTGCTTTTCAAACAGCTTACATTTTAATGTATTTTTGGTTAGACACCAAAATGACATGCAGCAGGTTGTGTTTTTTTAAACCCTCCTTGATTCATCTTTTCTTTTTAAAGATTTCACAGCATAGCTGTAGCTGAAAACGCAACAAGCAACCAGCCAATAAAATACGGTTGTTCTAGACAGAAACGAAGTCCCATGTTGACGACACCAGCACAGGCACAGTTCTTTGGACCTGTAGTAGTACAGCACTGCTAATGCATTAAATTGCATTAAATTGTCTAGGTTGTGTGTCCTTTTGCGCAAGTGTTGGGAGAGCAAGAGAGCTCCTCCAGTGGAGTCAGAGGGGCTCTGGAGCCTCAGCAAAATTTTTGGTGACTCTGAACAATGACACAGCGGCCACTGTGCAAAACCTCATTTAACATCCTCTCCCTGTCACACCCGCGCAGTGCAGCAAAGGCTGATTTCGCAAACTAAAACAAAAGGAAAAGTAAATGGCTGAACGACAACTGTGAAGGACGATTAACAGTGCACCACATACAGTTGCTTAACAAGCAGGATAACCTTATGCAATAACTCTCTGGAGCCAAACAGTCTGGAACCTCCAGCTTCATAAAATACATTTTTTCATCAGGGCACACAAACCAAACGCAACAATCACCACCACCCCCCTTCAACCTGCATCGCTTTGCTGTCTGCAGTTGCATCCAGTAAGAGACAAGGCCAAAAACTGCACTGATCTGCCTTCTCACATTGGTAATTCCACATCTCGTACACATTTGTACCCCCCCACAAACACACACACACACACTCACTTGCACATCACTCTTATTTCCATTTCCCATTCCCATCGCAAGAGCATTTCCCATTCTACAGACTTTAATACAGAAGATGTTTTTAAACCCAAGTAGCAAATCGTGTTTTGGTTAGAAAGAGGCCACATTGAAAGTAATCATGCCAGAGAGAAGGAATGCCATTTTTACAGACTTCACAAAACATTAACTTACAGTTCCCAAACAGAACAAACAAAGCCAGATCTTTCCCCCAAATCCATGCAGCATTTTTAAAGGCCACCCCACAGCAGGAAGGACAGGGGGCAAGCAGGCACACGGTCTTGCGTGGAAAATTATTCACTTGCAGAAACAAACTGTAGACTCAGAGAGGTGAAATGATGGAAAACTCACTGACTTCAGTCAAGTCAGGACTTCCCCCTCAACACACAGGCTGCCAAGAAAAGCGTTCTGCCGTGCCATAACAGAAGGGGAAAAAAATCATGTTGAAATTTGAATTTTACCAGAAATTGTCACCAAGACATTCAGCCCTTCAAGTACATCCATTTGCTGGAATCGTCTTCGATTGATGAGCGGATAAACCTTCCCCTGACCACTTCTGTCTAGCAGCATCAAACCACTTTCAGTGCCCACTAACAAATTCACTCCTGGAAGAAACAAAAACAGAGATTCAAGTTATTAGGCAGATTTTCCATGTATTCTGATGAACTGATCCTTGGCATAGCAACTGTCTTGTTTCAAGCAGGTCTAACCGCTGTTGGTTGTGTCTCAGCTGCCTGCAGCCTAAAAGATCTCATGATGTAGAAGCTGTCTACATTACCTGCCCGCAGCGACTACTGACACCAAATTGTAGTGTTCAAAAGAGTGAGAGAGTGGTATAGACCATGGAGACCTTTCTAGAGCACCAGTTCGCAAACAAAAAGAGATGCTAACGTTGAAGGAGGGGTGAGGAACAAAGTGGTACCCAAGCTTATGTATTCCAAAGATGTATTAGCTGTTGATAGGGGGGTTGGTAACAGGATGCTCTTGACAAGGACATTGCAAAAAAGCAGTGGTAAGGGCTTGGTCCCCTCTGGGAGAAACAGATTGTGGTATAGCCCTCCTGTAAAAGGGTAGGCACAGGGGTGGTCCTCAGCTTCCCAACAATCTTTTCCATCTGAATATCAAAACTAGAGGGATTACAGTAATCTTGTGCTTCCACAGGTTTTTCCTAAAGACCAAGCAAATACAGCTGAGAAAAGTCACTAGGCCAGTTTCTTTCTACAAAGGTCCACACATCCACTGGAACACTTTCTGAGAGACCACAAAACCCAAGTACTTAAATATATATATATGAGACTACATTTTAAAAATCTATTAACATATTATCACTCTTAAATTTCATAACTATTAATTTGCAATAGCATTTCAGTCTAGGACCCCACAAATTGTGCAGAGACAGGTCAGATACCATACACAGAATGGAAAGCAAACCAAACGCATGACTCACTTTATTAGACTTCTGTGTTGCAATCCCAGTGTAAAAGTTGTCATCCTTAAGCATAATAAAGTAATGAAATAAGAAAAGCAAAACTCACACAAGCTGATCACAGTTGTATTGCTTATGGGCCTTAATCCCTAGTCAGACAATTAATCCCCAGGTATAACTATAGTGGTGCCAATGGATGCATCATCCGGGCTGATCCTGTAACGAACCTTTTCTAACGCAGCACGTGGGCCCAATATACAGGAGTCAGTATCTCGGTGCAGTCTGCACCTACAGCAGTGAGATGCCTACTCATAGTATCGAAAAAGGGCATTGCTCACAAGGATGAGGAACGTTACCTAAACACCACCCTGGCTACCAGACACAGGAGCGGTTTGCAAAAAGGAGAGCATGTTCACCCTGACCCAGAGGGCACGAGGTGCCTCCCAAAGGGGACAGGGTGTTAGCAAGGGAGTGGAGCTGCAGCCAGGAGGAGGTAATGATGGGGAAAGAGCCTGAGCTGATGGTGCTGGGGCACTCTGAAAAGTGGATGAGAAAAACAGCCGTAGCCCACGGGAAGGTCGGAAACCATCATGCATCTCCATTTTCATCCCTCTTGCGTTTTCAGTAAGGAAACTTCAGAGTTCCCAGCAAACCATCTCCTCTCTTTGCACAGATTTGCTGCTCTGCTACTCCTCCGCCTCCTCCAGGCAAGGAGAGCCCATGGATGCTGGCAGACGCAGAGCCCATCTTGGGAGAGGGCCCGCAGCCCTCCTGGGTCCTCCTTCAGCTGCTGACATCTCCTCCATCCCCTTCCTGCCCTCCCCCTGCCTCTGCATTCCCCACATGGGTCTGCTGGCTCCTGTCCCACAGCCCCCGGGGGCATTTCACATCAACCATCTCCCATACTGGGAGACATCCTCAAACTGGGAAGCGGTGGAAGGAAGGAGGGAGAGCGAGGCACGCACTGAGTCAGGGCTCAGCACAGGCTGCAGCAGCACCAGACCAGCCAAGGAAGCACCCAGCAGTCAAGTCTCCTTCCTGCAGCTCCGTGACCCGTTGACTAAAGCCGTAAGTGACTCAGCTTCGACACGTATTTCTGTATTTTTTCCAGCATGGATTACAATTCAAAGCAAGCCACATGCGAACTGCTCTCCTCAGGTCCCTTCCCCTCTATGCACATCAGGGCTCAGTCGCTCCCACCTCCACCCTCATCTCTTCCTCTGCTGCCTTTGTGGTGCAGTTGTTTCTGCTTCGAGCTTACGTGCGTGCCTGTCCCCGACCCCTTCCCTTAGCTACATGCATTTTGAGACTAAACTAATGAGGTACTACGCTGGTGGTGAGCAGTGCCTGTATTTTAAAATGTCTTTATCCACAGCCAGCAGAGCTCTTCTACCGCCACCCTATAATTAAGCAGTTCTGGTTTTTCAAACAAATGGAAATGCTTCCTGAAAAAGTACAGGCTCTCTGTGGAGGCTGGGTGTAAAAATCTCTGCTGCTGCATCCATGTGATTAACATTGGCTTTCACCACTCAGAAATAGAAGAAACAGCATCATAGACCCAATGCGATCAGCAACCTGCCAGATATTATGGCATTACCACAGGTAAAGGCAAAGCAAGCCCCCCTCTTTTTGAATAAGAAATATCACCATGTAATGGCTTAATTTGCTTAAGAGTAAAGGGAGCTAAACCTTATCAAGAAATAAGCATGTGTGCCAGCTTGCATCACCACCAGTTCGGCCCTAAATGTTCAACAGCGAAGTGCTTTGTTACAGCTGTAAAACACCTCTAAGATTTTACACCTATACTTTAAATGACCATAACAGACAGGATCCATACATGGATCAAAGAAATATAAAACCATTAACACAAATTGCTACTGGCAAAACAGGGCAGATCAGAGAAATTATGAGTCATCTTTACTGATCCCATATGATTTCTCTCTGCCTTTGCCCTTTCACAGCCTGAAAGTTTACATTTGCACAAGCCACCATTTTATCAGAGAAGAATTCATATGAATACATGCAGAAATAGCACTGGGGTAAAAATTCTTACCAGTAAATTCTGGAAATAAAGAAAACAGCAGATAGGGAGATAAGGTGTCAGGAGAGCTATTTAACTGACCTGGCTTTGCAGGCAAGAAGGATAGGACAACAGTGCTGTTCTGAGAATTGAGAAATGCTGTGAAAATGTAAACAAGTGCACTGTGTTACCTATCCAATCATCGTGTGACTCAGGGGAATGGCCAGCTCTCTTCTTCACAGTTTTTAAAATTACATGCATGTGCATTTGCCTTCTGTTAAATTTAGGGATATTAGATAAATATGTACATAATATACACAAGCATCATCTATTAACATCTAGATAATGAAAAAAATTCAGGTGGCCCCATAGATCCTGGCCAAGAAAGAAATGACACAGCTGAGAAAAGCTTTCACTGGGTATTGCAGCAGTGATTCCACATTGCAGCAGGCAACAAGCACTGCTCTAAGCCTTTCACCAGTGTAGGATCCTGACTAACTGTCTGACACCGACATAAACTACCCCTTGTGACAAGAAGGCCAGACGCTCTTGGTCAGCTGACGTCCCATACCCAGCTTCCCTCTGCACTAACCACTCAACAAAACCAAGCCACAGACTCACACTGGAAAATGTCCCTCCTACCCTTCTTTTTTCCCCTCTTCCTTCCTACATAAACTGATGACTGAGGTGGAAAGTCATCTTACGAAACACATCTTAATTAAGCTCCACAACAATACATTAGCAAGAGGCTCAAGAAGTTGATTATTTTTTAAATGGAATACCCTATGTGCACTAGGTGTACAATGCAAAGACGACCACAAATTCCCAAACATTGCAGGAGATGTACTAACGGAGGCTAGAGAGAAAACGACAGGCCGATCAGCTGAACGAAGTCTGAACTCTGCCATCAGAAGCATACATACAGCAGTGGGAAATTATATCAAAGCAGAAGCAGCATAATAATGATCAGCTCTGGCAACAAAAAGAGTAAACAAGCATTGAATAAGCGCAGAGAAACAGCAAAGGTTTCAGAGATAGGTTGTCGAAGACCGTAAGCTCATACTGGCACATCTGCACTTCAGAAGTGCAGGAGGCAAGGGAGGAACAGGTTTGCATTACCCCATAAGGCAGCACACAGTATCTCAGAATTGAATCTCTTCTTGTATTTGCGAATCTCTGGGGTATCACTCTGTGGTCGCGTGTTCGTGGGATTCACGTTGACAACTGATCCTTTCCGTGTAGGGTCTTGCCTTATTGCCTCTGATCTCATTGCTTCACTAGAAAATCCTACTGAAATAAAGAAAAGTAAAGTGCATGTAATAACCCTTAAGTGCTAAATTCCGGCCATATTTTCTTTACACCAAACAACCCAAATCAGTAACTGAGAATACTGAACAAGTCTTTCTTTTTGTAAGAAATGTAAATGGGAAAAGAAATAAACTATGCCATCCACTGCAAATCAAATAAAAAGCATGATGGTAACGTTCATAAGTACTTTAAAGAGCCACTGAAGTCACTGAACCCTTTTTCAATTGCTGTCTTCAGCTACTTTACTTACCCACAGAAGTCACAGTTGTCCCGCTAGATGGAGAAATCTGTAGTAATCTGGGGTCTATAAAAGGTGTAAAGGAGGAGGAAGATTTGTGTTTCTGGAGTGTGTTACTAGCGGACTGAGTCTGCAATGTAAATTTCAACTTTATTAATATTAATGACAATAAAAAGCATGGATAACAACAACCAACATTTTTAAGTCACTACAGAATTATGCTACAGAGCCTCCCCAAGCTTTTATATTTCTTTTATAGATACACAATGCACTGCAGGCACCACACCTGAACTAGATACATATGCACACTGTACACGTTACAGCGAAATGTAATTAGCTAAATCATTGGCCCTGCCACCTCAGCTGCTAGTGAAGATTTTTAGGACTGGCCATTACAATCAGGCACAAAGTGAGGGAATGTCTCTTTTTTAAAAAAATCTGCTTAAATGTATCTATACTATCTTATCTGCAAGCTGTCCACTACCTATAATTTTTGAATTTATGAAGTATGTCCTGAAGTGAGCTAGTTTAATAAATGATGAAGTTTGATCTCTTGGCTTGTGCAACAAAATCAGAACCATCTGGGATCAAGCGTTCACTTCTACGGTGGATTATGTTTCAATGTCCACTACTGTTCGTTCTCCCTATTTTGTTTAACCTGAGCCTCTTGCCAGAAAGCTGCAGCAGGTTCTTCCACCTTTATTTGACAAAGCAACATATTAAACCTGTATCGAACAAAGGGGCTCATTAGTGTGGAAGGTGTAGCAAACGGTGATATGAAGCTATGAATATGTAGTGGATAAAATCACTGGTGCTTGCTGAGTGATGTGGTCTAAACATGAAAAAACATAAAGAAAAGAAGACAAGTGAAACAATGACTGTTAAAAGTGGAAATGGAACGACTTAAAAACCCTTGCCAGTTTAGTATTATGGTGACAACATTGCATACTGAAGCAGAATGGGACAAGTGAAAAAAAAAAAAGTACATATAGAAAGGGCGTGCATGTGGGTGAGTTATACCAAGCAGTACTGGGTTTTTGCTCAGCTTTATGCAAATGTAGCTAGAGGCACTTCTTTATCGTGAACTAATCTTCAACCTCTGATCTTTCTAAGCCTCTTCTCTGCAGAAAAAGTAGCAATGGGTCTTAGGAGTGTATCACTCCCCTGCACAGCTCAAAACCGAGAGGTTCCTTCGCCACCAACTGCTGCCACAGCCTCCACTTCCCAAGCTGAGTTAACTGAACCCTGCTTATTTATTGCTTAGATCAAAGTAATGAACAGGGATATCTCTGGATCAATCAACTGATCTCTATAACCTACAAGAGTATGCTTTTAGAAAGATCAAAGACCAATGAAGCATAGCTGAAAATTAAGTATTACACTAGCCAAATTTCCAGGAGGAAACCCTCCCACCCACCCTCCTGCTACGTGGTTCGGAAGCATATTTGATCTTGTGGTAAACACATGTATTGCCATCAGCCTACCCAGCTCACCACAACCTCTCCTTCTCATCACACCGCTTGCATGCCTACATGGCAGGAGGGCTCTACCCTGAGAAGCAGCAGCTTCTTTTCCCCGAGTTTTGCTTCCCCTGTACCACTCCTGCTTGCATACAGAAAGGGGGTCTCCCCAAGAGGCAGGCTGGCCCCCCAGCCAGGAGTGGAGCCACCGCACCGGGTTCCTTGCTTACTGCTAGGGTTGGTAAGGGGTGAATGATGCCCTTTGTTCACGCATCTCCTCTGCGGTGAGGGCTTACACACACGTTAAGGACCAGACTCGTCCACCAGCGCTTGGTGAGTAAGGGAAGGCACCATCCTGGGATCAGCCCAGGACAGCAAGAGGGAGCTTCCCCCGTGGTGAAGCCTTGCTTCTCCACCTGGCACTGGTGGAGAAGAGTCATCTTTACACAGCTGCTTTTCAAAGTACACACATACTTGGAAAAAACCCAAAGATTTTCCCCCATTCATTATTCCAAAACAGCAATACTCCAGGCTTTTACAACCCTCCTGGGCAACATCTGATTTGTTCACCCAGCCCATGTGGCAAGTTTTTAAGAGTAAAATCCCTCCATGGCTGCTGCCACTTCCTCTGCCAAAGGGTGAGTTTCCACAAGCAGCTCCTCATACGTGTGGAATTACTAGCCCAGCCTTTACTGACAAAGCCAAAATTAACCGCTAATTTTTAAGAGGCACACTGCTTGCAATTAGCCTGCTCCCGGAATAAAACAGAATTAAAAAATAAAAGAATATTGGCTTGAAAATGCAATAGTCAAGTTTAGTTTAAAACGAAGGCCATGCAATTAATGACTCACTAAGAGGAAGCAAAAATAGTAAACTGGCAAGTTTGGCATGGGACTGCTCTAGAGTTAAGGGCTTCTTACACAGAACTGAAATGTGTTATTTGGGGGGTGGGAACAAAGGTGACAGAAAAAAAAAAAGCAGGGGAGATTGGCTGGAGTTCCTTTGCAAACTAGCTACTAGGCAGTGCTGCTAACAACCCTACGAAAGCAGCCAGCTGTGGTGTAAGACATACCTCATTAGTAGTTAGCTTGTCCTGGGGTGTCTGTGGGGACATGGTGGGTGTCGGCTGGCTGGAGGATGGGGAGGAGGAGGTGGAGGAAGTGGAGGAGGAATGGCTTTGCTGTAAGAGATCTGGCAAGAGGTGAATGCGACCGGCAAAGCCATTGCTCTCATGATGGCTGGCACGCTTTTTGTCAACTGTACTCTGTAGAAAAAACAGGCACACTTGTCTTGCTCAAGTGCTGCTTAAAGGTCTATATCCCTAACAACCTCTCTCCTTCTCTCCCTCGCTCGCTTCCTAGCTTTTTACATTTATTTATTTATTTTTAAAAATAAGCTGATAATCCATGCCTTCATGCCTGGATGGAAAGGGAAAGTGGGCAGAGCTACTAGAATTCAGCAAATTCCCACATGGCAAGCAAAAGCTTAGTTGTGTGGTTGACTTGCACAGCCAGTTCCACTAATTAACAGAAGAGTAACTGTGCTGGTAAGTCTTCCACCACAACACGGACAAGCACTTTTTTTTTTTTTTTTTTTTTGGTGGGGGGGGATGAAGGGGAGGGGGAGGATTTCTTCCCCTATTGTTTTTGTTTAAAACTAACTTAAATCCTATACAGATACGAGCTTGGACTGTCTGGTGAATGCCTTCAGCTAACTATTTAAAACAATAAGCATGAAATCTTAATTTTCAAACCAGAGGGCTCAATTAAGAAATTGGCATTCAGTTGTGAAATTCAGAAATGCGATTACCGAGGAAACTCCTATAAGCTAGCATGCTCATTAACACATGAGCTCATTTAAAAGCAGGGAATCATTATCTTTCAGAGGCACAAGAATGTGATATTTTCGGAATCAAAGGCAACAACACAGCACCCTATCTCTGTCCACGTTCTCTACCTCACCACCTACTTTGTTTCTCCGTTCCCCCACACTAACTGTTGCATGAGTTTGTATGTACGTGTGTGTGTATGTTATCTGGGTGGTCTGTATGCCCTCAACTACAGGTTCAAAACAATTTAAAAAAACCCTGAATGCTCCCCCCCCAGCCTCCCTCCCAGCCCCACTCCTAAGAGCCACGTTTGGTTCTATGGTAAAACTAAACAAAGTTCTTGCTCTAGGTACTTGTTCCACACACCTGCAGCTTTTCTACCCTTCTCTCCCAACTTTGAGGTATGCTGCACGGTGCTGCCATGGGTGTCACTGGAAAGCATGCAAAACAGTAGCAAGGGGTGAAGGGCCACTCTCCTCTTTGCATGCATCAAACATCTTGCTCATCTGAAATTCACTACAGCTGTGTCTTGGTAATACGAACAACAAATATAATGTAGAAACAGCATGGGTGAATGAGCGAGTGGGTTAATGAGCACAGAAAAGGTGCAGCGCTGCACAGGGAAGGAAAAGCAATACCTGTCGGACAATTAAGGTGCCCTCCTTAGAAGGAGTCAAGGCAGGTTCACTCTCCACATCGTCATGGACGATCATGGTTTTCACTGACTCTGTTTCACCATTGCTCAAGTTCAATGTTGACCTATTTGCCGGACAAGAAATAACTGGAGTGAGATAACAACATCTGTGCCCTAGCTTTCACTGCCCTGCACCAAGGCACACTCTAATTTATATTGTGACCAGAGTGGAATATTTACATCACCTGTCTAGAAAGGCTTCGCTATTAAAAAAAAAAAAAAAGTCAGGAGTTTGTTAAACACTGCTTCTTGTTTTATAACTAATCAAAGGGAGAAGAGAGAAAGGACATAATTTATAGAAGCCTATTTTTTGAAAAGATTCCCCTCAGTGTTTGAAAAAGTGAACGTCTGGCTCACAGATTGTTGTAAACTGAAAGAACTAACATACAAGTCAAAATACCCAATGTCCTTTTCCTTCAGCCCCCCGAGAGGGAAAACAGAGGCAAAACATGGAAGAACTAACACTGCTCGGACATCATCTGGTCCAGAAGTAGATTCATCTGCTCCTTCTTGTTCCATATCATCGTCTTCCTCATCTGTTGTCCCTGACTCCTCACTTGAGGATGAATAATCCGTCACTTTATGTGGAGGTCGCACATCCTCTACCGCTCGCAATTCTTTTGCCAATGCAGTTAAATCCTGATAGGAGAGGGAGGAAAAAAATGTTACAAGGAAGAGAGGAAAAGAATTTGCAAGACAACCCCATTGGGTTGGCCCCAGAGTTGTCCGCTGCTGTGTTTCCATAGCCCCAGCAGTATTGTTTCCTTTGAGTTATTCATTCCTGATAGTTACCAAAACTCACTTTGTGATAAATTAAAGCACTGAAAGACTCAACCTAAGGAGGCTTTGCCATATTATAGAAAAATATATATACTCTGAATCCAAACTATCCTGATTATGACTTCAGTTTATCCCACTACACCATCTGAAGGACATATATAAGCACCTGGACCCACTCTCACACAGTGGTTGACTGTCACAGTTCATTTTCCTAAACTTTGCAGGTTAATAGCATCCACCACAAGAAATCTAGGCGTCAAGGTAGCAGAAAGATCCTAAGACTTATTGCACCACCCAAGGCACAGTCGCAGAAAGATGATCTTCTAGAAACCTTTTGATCCATTTGCTGTTGCACAGATCCACGCTACGGAGTTCTCCTGAGAATTCAGATTCGTTAGCATGGGACATAACCTGCTTTTCTGTCTGCAGCTTGGAGTGTGGGCAAACCAGGTTTGCAGTCAGTGCAATCTGCTCTCAATTGTATAGCTACGCTTAATTTAGCTGAATACAATTTATGGAGAATACTTCACACGTTATACTATCAGAAGTGAAGGACCAGCCTCTATGTTTCTTTAAGAAAGCAGCTTTGACAGATTTGGGTGCTAGTGCAGTATCATAATGGCGAGAGAAAAAAATTTTAAGGAAAGTTGGGAATACTGTGAAAACCCACTGTGATCCCCCAGATACAAATAGACATATAGTTGTAATCAGCTGTAAAAGCAGCGAGATAAAGAAAACGTCAGAAATCTTTCAGAGAAAATAGCAACAATTTAAGGTCTTACCACTTCTCCCTGCACCATTCAGCCCAGCATTGGCACATTCAGGTCAAATGCATGATCATTGGTCCAGCCCCAGGAAGGAAGCACAAGATTGAAAGAGAGAAAGGCAAAGGTTAGGAAGGAAGAAGACCAGAGAGCAGAAATCAATTCCAGAAGCAGAGCAAATTCTCGTGTTTAAAGTACTGTGATGTGTGCAGGCAACTGCAGAGACCAGGACACGCAGCTGGGCCCACAAACTCCAACTCAAGTTCACCCCCAATGGCATCATGAATGGAAGCTCACACTATGTTTTGTGGGCCTACCTGGAAGAGAGGGAGGACAGGGGAAAGCAGAAGCAACTTACAGCAGGCTTGATAGGTCTGAAGACTTCCTTTTTCTCTTCAGGCTTTTTAGGTGCACTTTCGTGACGCTGTGATGGCGAACCCTCTGATTTGGATGATGCTGCATGCGTCAAGACCCCGAAAGGAACACAGAACAAAACAGATTAAGCAGGGAGCTAAAATATGTTTTCTTACTTCACTTTGGAGTGGGGAAGAGAGGTGAGAAGGTGGTGCCTGACAGCAAGACTTAAGTTTCACTCATTCACTACTACATTGTCCCTGAAGAACAATACAAAAAACCATCATGAGCTATGATCTGTATAGATGCAGCTGACCTCTAACTCAACCCAAAGTAAAAAGTCACACAGTCGTAAATCAAAGAGGGTAACTCGAGTGTGGCCACAGGCTGGAAAACCTGAACCAGCATCCAATGTACCGCAGCTGAGACCTATCCATAGCAGTCTGCACCCCTTCAGCAACCACCGAGGTGATAGGCAACAAGCATCAAAAGGTGCCCTTGACACATAGGAGAAAGGGAGCTATGAGAGCATGGAGACTGGGCTGTTTCCACATGGGAAAAAGCAGCAGTGACTGAACATGAATCAGAGAATCAATCATAGAATCATAGAATGTTTTGGGTTGGAAGGGACCCCTGAGGTCATCTAGTCTAACCCCCACTGAAACATTTTCACGACAACTTCTGCATCCAACCAAAGGGGGTACTGGAAGCTAATCCATCTCTGGTCTTTCCCAGTGAGGGTTGGGTTATCATCCTTCATTAATGAGTGTTACATGACTCAATAAATTTATAAACACAACATTACACAGGCTGGGG